TATATTGTACTGTTAGAGGCCAACAGGAACAACATGGCTACCCTACAGCACCTCATGCCCATGGCCCCAAAGACCCGGAGAAACTCTTGGGGCAGGGGCCAGGGACAGGCGGCAGGGCAGGGACAGGTGGCAGGCCAATTTCTCACCAACCTGGCCACCCAGGCCCGCTGTGCATGCTGCTGCTGACTAGAGAGATGAGCACCACTGTCCACTGCATTTAGGCCCCTCCCTCCGGGCTCTGGGGCTGTGGCTCCTCCTGAGATCAGCGGCTGGGAGGCTGGGCCCTATGGCTGTCCCAGCTCACAGGCCACGGGTCTCATGTGGCCCAGTGATGGCCACTGCTTTTGGGGCAGCATGGCTACCACCTGCCACACAGAAGACACAGGACGCAGTGCTACCTTCTCATCCAGTGTGAAGCGGTGGTAGATGCCGGCGGGGAGGGTGATCATGTCGCCCTTCTCCATGGAGATCCGGATCCACTTATCCTCCTTGTCCCTGACATCAAAGTACCCACTGCCATCCAGGATGTATCGGATCTCCTCATCCAGGTGCAAGTGCTCTGTGTAGAACACCTGGATCTGGGGGAGTAGAGGTCCCAGTGAGGAGGGGAAGGAAGAGCCCCTGCCCGCAGCGACTGCAGTAACTACTCGCTACACAGGCTTGATCACACTGTCCATTGAGCAGCCAAGGGACAGGCAGCGACAGGATCCACACACAGTGCCTATGTCAGGAAACCTTCCCAGGTCAAACCTGCAGACAAGCCGAAGCCTTTTCTGGTGACCACAGACACCCTTCACCAAGTCCGTGCCTCTGGCTTTGCCCTCAGGCACTGTTGGTGCCTCCCAGCTCCATCTGGGGTTCTGGAGCCTTCCTGCTTAAAGATCACACATTTCTGGCCAGGTGCAGTGCTACATGCCCGTCAACCCTGCACTCTGGCAGCCTGAGGCAAGAGAATCACAAGGCCAATCCCAGCCTAAGCCACTGAGTGACTCAGCAAGACTCTGTCTCAAAAAAATAGAAACAAGGGTGGGGATGATAGAGCTCAGAGTGAAGGCCCTGAGTTCTATCCCCAGCATTGAAAAAAAAAAAAAAAAAAGAAAAGAAAAGAAAAAGTGCCCCATCTCTGGAGAAGCTGAGACATCTGGAAAATGGCCCTTGTGGAAGAATAAGACGTGTACAGCTCTGTGGGACTCTGGTTTCACTTTGGAATCCAGAGCTTGCGAGTGTCTGCAGCACCTCTGCCGAGGAAGCCTTGGGGCCAGAGGGAGGGCCTCAACGGCCAGCGCCCTCCTGGGTGCTGCCACTATAAGAGGGCAATGAAGACGGTGAGTGCTGGGCATGGGAGTGGCACAGAGGGGTGTGTGCCTTTCTACAGAAGTTTAATTTCAGAGCCTGGTTGTGCTTCAGCAAGTAACAAACAGAAGGAAAACAAGATCAGGAGAAAAACCTTTCATTTGGAATCAAGAAAAACATTCAGAACTGCGAAGTATAATGTTGAATCCTGTAAGGCCAGCACTCAGAAGACAGAGGCCTGAGAGTCACAAGTTCTAGGACAGTCTAGAACAGCCTTGGGAGGCTGGGGAGATGGCTCAGTAGAATAAGCGCTTGCCTGGCAAGTGCAAGAGCCTGAGTTCAATCCCTGGTTCCGCCAAAAGGATAAAAAAAATAAAAAAATAGAATAGCCTTGGCTATACATGAAGACTATGTCTCAAAAAAATAAAAAGAGGGCTGGTGAGATGGCTCAGTGGTCTAAAGCACCTACTTAGAACAAGCTTAGCAAAGCACAGGGACCGCGGTTCAATCCCCAGCACCACATGCCAGCC